AGCTGTGCCACGATTGGCCCCATGGCTAGATCAGTCTTATCCTAATCAAATTTCCCCTCCTGTTCAAACTGAAGTCGACCTTCCTGTGACTTGAGCTCTCTGGAGCAGCACGTATGGTTGCCAACTCCTGGTTGGGAAACACCTGGAGATTTGGGGGGGGTGGAGCTTGAGGCAACCATTTGTCAGGGAGGCTCTAGGCTGGTCCTGCATGGAGCAGGGGGTTGGACTAGATGGCCTCTAGGGACACTTCCAGCTCTGTGATTCTATGATTCTGGAATCAGCTGCCTCGGGAGGAGGTGAGCTCCCCCCCCCGGCAGTCTTCGAGCAGCGACTGGACAAACACTGGTCAGGGAGGCTCTAGGCTGGTCCTGCATGGAGCAGGGGGTTGGACTAGATGGCCTCTAGAGACCCCTCCCAGCTCTGTGGTTCTAGTTCCTCTTGGGAGAAACTTTCTGCTCTGTAGGATTGACTCTATGGCACTGTACTTGGCTGAGGTCCCTCCCCTCCCCAAACTCCACTTTCTGGAATTAAGATCACAGGGAGACGCCCTCCTGACCGTCCCGTCAATCAAAGAAGCTTGCTGAGCGGGTGCATCATGTGTCATGCCCCGGAGATGGAGGGTGCTTTGAAGCTCACCAGGAGTTCCCAGGGAAGTGAGCCATAAAATGCACCAAAGAGGTCAGAGAGCAGAGATAATCATTTGCTCTGCCTGCCAGGAAGGGCAAGCGGACAGATGTTGTAAAATGCGATCTGGGTATGGAGACGTGCGGAACGTGCCTCCCTAGGTGGACTGGAAGGTTGGGGCTCACCTTCAGAACATGAGAGACCACAAGTGAGAAGCCCATGCTGGGTCAGGCCAATAGCCCCTCCAGTCCAACACTCTGTGTCACACAGGGGCCAGAAATACCAGGGGCCATCAGGAGGTCCACCAGTGGGGCCAGGACACGAGGAGCCCTCCCCTGGCACCAAGAAGACAGTATCACTGCCCCCAGAAATAAGAACATAAGAGAAGCCAGTGTTGGATCAGGCCAGTGGCCCATCCAGTCCAACACTCTGAGTAACACAGTGGCCAGAAATACATGGGGCCATCAGGAGGTCCACCAGTGGGGCCAGGACAGTAGAAGGCCTCCCACTGTTGCCCCTCCCACCCAAGCACCAAGAAGACAGAGCATCACGTGCCCCAGACATAAGAACATAAGAGAAGCCAAAGCTGGATCAGGCCAATGGCCCATCCAGTCCAACACTCTGTCTCACACAGTGGCCAGAAATACCAGGGGCCATCAGGAGGTCCCACGGTGGGGGCAAGACACTAGAAGCCCTCCCACTGGCACCAAGAAGGCAGCATCACTGCCCCCAGAAATAAGAACATAAGAGAAGCCAATGTTGGATCAGGCCAGTGACCCCTCCAGTCCAACACTCTGTCTGTCACACAGTGGCCACAAATACCACGGGCCATCAGGAGGTCCACCAGTGGGGCCAGAACTCTAGAAGTCCTCCTACTGTTGCCCCCTCCAAGCACCAAGAATACAGAGCATCCCTTGCCCCCGACATAAGAACATAAGAGAAGCCAATGTTGGGTCAGGCCAATGGCCCATCCAGTCCAACACTCTGCGTCACACAGTGGCCAAAAATACCAGGTGCTCCCAGGAGGTCCAGCAGTGGGGCCAAGACACAAGGAGCCCTCCCACTGTTGCCTCCCCCACGAGCACCAAGGAGACAGAGCATCCCTTGCCCCAGACATGAGAACGTAAGAGAAGCCAATGTTGGATCAGGCCAATGGCCCCTCCGGTCCCACACTCTGTCTCACACAGTGGCCAAAAATACCAGGTGCCCTCAGGAGGTCCAGCAGTGGGGCCAAGACACTAGAAGCCCTCCCACTGTTGCCTTCCCCCCAAGCACCAAGGAGACAGAGCATCCCTTGCCCCAGACCAAGAGTTCCTATCTATGCCTTGTGGCTAAGAGCCACTGATGGACCTCTGCTCTTAACATGAGAACATAAGAGAAGCCAATGTTGAATCAGGCCAAAGACCCATCCAGTCCAACACTCCGTGTCACACAGTGGCCAAAAATACCAGGTGCCATCAGGAGGTCCAGCAGTGGGACCAGGACACCAGGAGCCCTCCCACTGTTAACCCCCCCAAGCACCAAGAAGACAGGGCATCCCTTGCCCCAGACATAAGAACATAAGAGAAGCCAGTGTTGGATCAGGGCAATGGCCCATCCAGTCCAACACTCTGGATCACACAGTGGCCAGAAATACCACGGACCCTCAGGAGGTCCAGCAGTGGGGCCAGGACACCAGAAGCCCTCCCACTGTTGCCCCCCCCCCCAAGCACCAAGACAGAGCATCCCTTGTCCCAGCCTGAGAGTTCCTATCTATACCTTGCGGCTAACAGGCACTGATGGACCTCTGCTCTTAACATAAGAACATAAGAGAAGCCAATGTTGAATCAGGCCAAAGGCCCATCCAGTCCAACACTCTGTGTCACACACTGGTCGAAAATACCAAGTGCCATCCAGCATTGGGGCCATTGGGGACACTAGAAGCCCTCCCACTGCCCCCCCCCCCAAGCACCAAGAAGACAGAGCATCTCTTGCCCCAGACTGAGAGTTCGTATCTGTACCTTGTGGCTAATAGCCACTGATGGACCTCTGCTCTTAACACAAGAACATAAGGGAATCCAATGTTGGATCAGGCCAATGGCCCATCCAGCCCAACACTCTGTGTCACACAGTGGCCAAAAATACCAGGTGCCATCAGGAGGTCCAGCAGTGGGACCAGGACACCAGGAGCCCTCCCACATGGGAGCAAGTTCTCCTAAATCTGGTTTGGGTAAGAGGCTTCCTGCCAGAAAAGGCAAGGAGGTTTTAAAGAGTGGAAACATCCGGTTAGTATTCTTCACGTTAGAAATTGGAGCCTGACCTGGGTATCCCAGGGAAGCCCGATCTCATCAGATCTCGGAAGTTAAGCAGGGTCGACTCTGGCAAGGACTTGGACGGGAGAACTCCTTGGAATGCCAGAGGTGGGAGAGTGGGGGCAAGCTTCCTTCAGCCACCTCTCTGAATATCCTCCAGGCCCCCAGTAGGGGTCAGTCACCAGAGGTCGACACGACTTCCATGTGCGCACACGCACATACAAATGCTAGAAATCGGATTCCCCTTCATGGAGCAGGTGGGGGGGATCAGTGTTTCCATTTGCTCCATGGATGGCCAAGGAGGAATGTCCGAGGTAAACCTTCCGTACTGTTACATTTAGCTTAGGTATATGATTCTCCTGCTATTTCCCTTTGAGCTGCATAACCAATAGGCATGACCAAAGCAGAGTCAGGCTCATTTACTTATAGGACCCAAACATGACATATACTGTAATTTAAAAAAAAAAAAAAAAGATTGAGCACCTTTAAAAACTGCTTCCAAATTCAACAAAAATACTGAACTTTTCCTAACCACCAGATACAGTGTGCAGAATGACCAATGCTCCCTCTAAGCCGTGGAGTCTTGTGAGCAAAAATTCTACTTTGCGAGCTACCGGCATTAAAGTTGTGAGCGAGCGATTTGGCTACTGCATTGATTAGTTTGCTCTGGAGCCCTCCTTCCTCAGCCAAGACAAAGATGTGTGAGCCGGAGGCTAAAAAACTGGGAGCTCAGCTTAGAGGGAACAAGGGGCATGACTGTCATTTTCTCTTGTTTTGTGCTCTAGCTTCATAACCTAGAGCAATAAAGTTTTGCTGCTTGAGAGACCAGACTCGGGCAAGCCAAGGGAAGGCACGGGGTGTGGCCTAATATTCTAATGAGTGGCACTGTCAGGGTGTGGCCTATTATGCTAATGAGTTTCTGCTGTTGGGTGTGGCCTATTGTGCTCATGAGTTCCAGCTGGGCTTTTTCTACAAAAAAAGCCCTGCACATAGACCCAAGGAGGGGTTGATGACACATGAAAGAGAGCCTTTTCCGTGGTAGCCCCGCCATTATGAAACAACCTCCCCGGAGAGATGTACCTGGCCCCCTCACTTTTGATCTTTAGGAGGCAGCTGAAGTCAGTTTTATTTAGGACTGCATTTGGTTAAGTTTACTAGAAAAATGGTAGGCAGGTAATTTTTATCTACTCCGGAAGGTGGGGTAGGGCTGAGTTGTCATCCTGTAGGAGTTCCACAGGCTGTGAAAACATACTAATGGAGGAGCCTTCCTGAGGAGGTTCTTTTCTATATGGATTGTTTCCTGTTTCCTGAGGAGGTTCTTTCGTATGTGGATTGGTTGTTGAAATTCTAATCTTATCTGTAAGACGTAGAGCCTTTTGTGCCTGACAACAGCACTACAGATAAGATTAGAATTTCAACAACCAATCCACATGCGAAAGAACCTCCTCAGGAAAGCTCCTCCATTAGCATGTTCATAGCCTGGGGAACTCTTACAAGACAATGACTCAGCCCTACCCCACCTTCCTGAGTAGATATAAGTTACCTGCCTACCTCTTTTCTTCTCACCTTGACACAGAGAGTACTCCATCTTTCTGTGTTATACCTCTGAGGATGCCAGTCACAGCTACTGGCGAAACATCAGGTCCTACAATGCCAAGACCATGGCCACACAACCTGGAAAGTCTACAGCAACTAATGAACTCTGGCCGTGAAAGCCTTCAACGTGTTCTTTTTTCACCTGGGACAATTTAGCATGTTTGCTTTATGCTCCTATGAAAGAGGCATTTAGTATGCTAGTCATAGTGTTCTGATTCCAAACCATCTGAAAGAATGGAGAACGTCTAGCTGTCTGTTTATATAGGGTTCTCCTTCAAAATAATGGCTTCTACAGCTTCCTTTAGAAAGTTATTAATGACGTATGAGATACGGAAACTCTGGAGTTCAATGTGGGAAGCGTAATGGGAGGGATAATGCTCCACGTTTAGCTTTCTTGGACCTTCATTTCAACCAGGGAAGGGACGCTGGGTAAATCGGAGGCATAACTGTGCCTTAACTGAATGCGTTTCTTTTCCATTTTCCCCACAGTCGAAATGGAGACCTTCAGCTCCCGCAGCCTGGCCATACAGGCCGAGAAGAAGATCTTGAGCCGAATGGCCACCAAATCCATGGCCAACATGTTTATCGACGACACGAGCAGTGAGATCCTGGACGAGATTTACCGGGTCTCCAAGGAGTATACCCAAAACCGGGCCGAATCTCAAAAGGTTATCAAGAACCTCATCAAAATGACCGTCAAGATCTCCGTCCTCTACCGCAACAACTGCTTCAGCGACGAGGAGCTGTGCTTGGCGGAAGAGTTCAAAAACAAACTCCACCAAGGGGCCATGACCGCCATCAGTTTCCACGAGGTGGACTTCACCTTCGAGAAGGCCGTCTTGGCCCGGCTGCTCCAAGAATGTCGGGACTTGCTGCTCAAGCTGGTGGAGAAGCACCTGACGGCCAAATCCCTCGGGCGCATCCGTCACGTCTTTGACCATTTTGCCGATACGGAACTCCTGACCCAGCTGTACAGTCCCGGGGAACCCTACCAGCCTCGCTTGAAAAAGATCTGTGACGGGTTGAACAAGCTCATCGATGAAGGGAAATTGTGAAGTCGAGCGGGGACGGGAGACAGGAAAGAACGACTCGGGGAAAATCACATTGCGTAAATCTTGCCACGAGAGAAATTAGACCCAAACCTAACACCTGATAAAGGGGGGAGCCGTTGTACCCATCCAGATGTTACATTGTGACCCAGGTTACTAACTTGGCTGCGTGAAAGATTTACAAAGTTCACGCCCCGGGGAAAGGCCGAGCGGACTTGTGACACAATCTAGGCCCTTCCCTGTGAGCCATCTCCTCTCTATGCCCGCCCACCACGCGGATTACTCCGGCCAGTATGAATACCGTTTCATAGGGTACCCGTGTGGGTCTTCAGTAGAGCAGCTAAATTTGAGCCCAGTAGCACCTTACGGACCGGCAAGATTTGTCAGAGTGTGAGCTTTCAAGAGTCCAAACTCGCTTCACCAGATCTCTGACGAGTCAAAATGCCCTTTTGATGAAGGAACCTTTGACTCCCAAACACTCGTACTCTGAAAAACCCTTGATGGGTAGCTGTGGAAAACAGCAAGAGCCTAGTAGCACCTTCAAGATTAATCAGATTTGTGTCAGGGGAGGAGCTTTCGCAAGTGACGGCTCACTTCACTGCTCACTGGGAGCCAGTTTGGTGTAGTGGAAGAACCGGGTTTGATTCCCCATTCCTCCACTTGCACCCGGCTGGATGACCTTGGGCAAGCCATGGTTGTGATAAGAGCTGTTCTTGAAAAAAGAGCAGTTTCTGTCAAAAGCTCTCTCAGCCCCGCCTACCTCACAGGGTGTCTGTTGTGGGGAGGGGAAGGGAAAGGAGTTTGTAAGCCGCTCTGAGACACCTTTGGGTAGTGAAGGGCGGGGTATAAATCCAATCTCTTCTTCTTCTCCTTGAAAAAGAGCAGTTTCTGTCAAGAGCTCTCTCAGCCCCACCTGCCTGTTGTGGGGAGGGAAAGGGGAAGGAGATTGTAAGCCACTCTGGGACTCCTTTAGGTAGTGAAGGGCGGGGTATAAATCTCCTCCTCCTCCTCCTCTTCTGCCAGTTTGGTGTCGTGGTGAAGTGTGCGGACTCTAATCTGGGAGAACCGGGTTTCATTCCCCACTCCTCCACTTGCACCTGCTGGATGACCTTGGGCAAGCCACAGTTCTGTTGGAGCTGTTCTTGAAAAAGAGCCGTTTCTGTCAAGAGCTCTCTCAGCCCTCCGCCTACCTCACAGGGGGCCTGTTGTGGGAAGGGAAAAGGGGAAGGAGATTGTAAGCCGCCCTGAGACTCCTTTGGGTAGTGAAGGGCGGGGTATAAATCCAATCTCTTCTTCTTCTTCTTCAGATAGATCGAGATGGGTCGCCATGTTAGTCTGTCTGTAGCAGTAGAACAGAGCAAGAGTCCGGGAGCACCTTAAAGACGAACCAAACTTGTGGCAGGGGAGGAGCTTTCGAGAGGCACAAAGTGAGGAGTGACTCCTGAAAGCTTGTCAAACCTGCCACAAATTTTGTTAGACCTGAAGGTGCTCCTGGGGGCTCTTGCTCTCTGCCTCTGAAAAATCTTGTCGGTCTCTGGTGCTCCTGGGCTTGAATCCAACCAGTACTATCCACCGAATTTTCTGAGAAGGGGTAGATTCAGGAGACGCCCCCCACCGCAGTCAGTAGAAGCCACCCCCGACCTTTTATCTGAGCCTTTCGGATTGCTTGCAGCCCCTTCTGCATTCCGGCTGGTCTTTGCAACCAGTGAAAGTTAAGACATTTAAATGCTGTTGCAAAACAAAACAAAACAAAAAACAAAAGCAGAGAGTTTTCTAACATCCTAAACGGAGAAGTCTGTACAGTCCATTTTAATCTCCGTTTGGATAGCGTTTGCTTGCCAACTCCCCCGCCAGTCTTCCTGGATCACCCCTCATGAGAAGAAATCAAATATGTGTTATGCTGTCCGCAGTGTTCCCTCTAAGCTGAGTTAGGGTGAGCTAGCTCACAGTTTTTTAGCCTCCGGCTCACACATTTTTGTCTTCGCTCAGGAAGGATCTCTCCAGAGCAAACTGATTGATGCAGCAGCCAAGTCCCCCGCTCACAACTTTAATGCCAGTAGCTCAGAAAGTAGAATTTTTGCTCAGACTCCACGGCGGAGAGGGAACATTGGTTGTATGTTGCTCACAGCTTAGTTTTTACTTTCTTATGTGTGTGGGGGGGAACTATGTACCTAGTCAACAGTCCACGGGCCGCTTTGCTAGCGAGCCAGGACTGCTTTTTTAAATCCAGTTTCCACCAAAGAAGATATGGGCACAGCCGGTGCTAGCCAGAGTCAGAGCTCAACAGGATATCCCCCCCCCCCAGCACTTGCACTTAAAGGACCTCAGGTACTCAGTGCTGGGAAAGACCTTCGCTCGAGCCCCCTGCAACTGGTTCCAGCTAAAGGCTCTGATCATCGCAGGACGGAACCCGCTTTGTGTGAGAGCCAGGACCGCAAGCTGTTCTTCTCAGGCCAGTAATTCCCTTCTCCCAGAAGGCAGCCTGGGCCACGCGCCACCTGACTGCACCTGCCTCTTGCTGTGCCCATCTCCTCCACCACCACCATCCCAGGGGGGGGCAGAGGCAGCAGCTTTCCTTTCCAGGTGCCTGTTTTCTGCCACCCCCACCCCCAAGAGACCGGGAGGGAATGGGGCACGCCTTCTGCCCTGCTTGATAGAGATAAGGCTTCCGCCACCAGCAGCCCTCGTGTCCCAGGCGCATGGAAGCTGAAAGCCCCTAACTCTGGCCCTGGCCTCTGCAGAACCGGGCTTGGAGGACGCCCGCTCCAGGTGCCAAAAATGGGCACAGATGCCCCAGGCCTCAATCTCGCCCTAAGCCCCCCCCTCTCCGCCATGTTTTGGAAGGGCATGGCGATTCAGACTCCGCTCCCTGCAGTTCCCAAAGCAGCCGGGTTTACTGGATCACAGGGCAGCGAACCCAAGAGCAACCAGTTCAGAGGTCCAGTGCAGGGATACGAAAGGGAGATTGGGATGGCAGAGGGATACTCGGTATACAGCATCAGACCCGCGCTCGTGACCTAGAGAAGGGGAAGCGACCATTTCCTTCCTCCCCCTTTTCGGAAACTCTCTCAGGGAACATTGTTGGACACAGCCTTTCTTCTGAAACTTGACTCAGGGAACGCAGGAATTGAAAATAAAGCCTTTCACACACACCCTCGTTTTTAAATAGCACGGTGTTCCCGCTTTTGTAAGATAGCTCGGTAAGAAGTAATCCAGCTGCAGAGCGGAGGGCGCTCACCTGCCAGGAGTGACCTCCGGATTCAACACGCCAGACAGCCCCGGTCAGCAGCTACTTTCTAAACGGGTGGGGGAGGGCCTGTTCCGAACGGGCCAAGGGCCAGGAGGATGGGCTCTGCCCCCAAATCAAGGTCAGATCAACCCCTTCCATGCCAGCAACCTCTTGTTTTCCTGTCCGGTGTAGGACAGCCAGTCTGGTGTCATGGTTAAGTGCATGGACTTAAGAACATAAGAGACACCAATGTTGGATCAGGCCAATGGCCCATCCAGCCCAACACTCTGTGTCACACAGTGGCCAGAAATACCAGGTGCCCTCAGGAGGTCCACCAGTGGGGCCAGGACACTAGAAGCCCTCCCACTCTTGCCCCCCCCCCCAAGCACCGAGAAGACAGAGCATCACTTGCCCCAGAGCCCCTATCTAGACCTTGTGGCTAATAGCCACTGATGGACCTCTGCTCCATATGCTTATCTAATTCCCTTTTGAAGCCGCCCATGCTTGTAGCCGCCACCACTTTCTGTGGCAGTGAATTCCATGCGTTAATCACTCTTTGGGTGAAGAAGGACTTCCTTTTATCCCTTCTAACCCGACCGCTCAGCAATTTCATGGAGTGCCCACGAGTTCTTGCGAGAAAGGGAGCAAAGTACCTCTTTCTCTCCCTGCTCTTTCCCCTGCATAATCTTATAAACCTCAATCATGTCACCCCTCAGTCGTCGTTTCTCCAAGCTAAAGAGCCCTAAGCGCTTTAACCTTTCCTCATAGGGAAAGTGTTCCAACCCTCATAGGGAAAGTGTTCCAACCCAGATTAAATACCCAGACTTTAATCTGGGAGAACTGGGTTTGATTCCCCACTTGCAGCTGCTGGATGACCTTGGGCAAGCCATAGTTCTGTCAGAGCTTTTTCTCTCAAGGGCAGTTCTAGAAAGAGCTCTCTCAGCCCCACCTACCTCACAGGGTGTCTGTTGTGGGGAGGGGAAGGGAAAGGAGATTGTAAGGTGCTCTGAGACTCCAAGTGAAGAGCCAGGGGTATAAATCCAGTCTCTTCTTCTTCTCCTGTGCCTTGGCATATAAAAAACATTTGGCACCTCAGTGAGCAAGAAAGGGAGGTGCAGGTGTTACATGGGAAGAGAAAAAGCCCCCAAGATGGGACTGAGCTGCTAGGTGACTGGAACTGAATATTTTATCTGCTTTTTTAAAAATCCAGTCATAAAAAGGTCGAATTGAATTGACTCTATGAGTGTCAGCAAGTTTCCATCCGTGTTAATTATGGGGAGGAGCAACAAATTACAAGGGCGGTTTGCAGGGCGCCGAAGCCCCACTTGGTTCCCCACTTGGATTCTGACCCACATCTCCTAAGGTTTCTGTGTCAGAGTTGCCAACTGCGGGTTGGGAAATCCCTGGAGGTTTGGGGGTGGAGCCTGGGGAAGGTGGGATTTGGGCAGGGGAGCAACCTTGGCAAGGGATGAGGTCACAAGAGGTCACCCTCCCAAAAAAAGAAGCAGCGGCATCTGGAGCTCAGTTGTAATCCCAGAAGACCTCGGCCTTACCTGGAGGTTGAAGCCAAAAACGAGAGATCACGGGAGTAAGTGAGATTCCAAAAACAACATCCGTGACAAAAATAACAAAGAGTCAATAAAGATAAGTTGCAAAAAACGTTTACCGTCATAATTCTGTAGAAACTTTTCTTCTATTATCGCTCCCACGCGAACGAACACTGCGCAACGGAAACAATCCGTTCCACAATATTGTGAAACGAATTGTTTTCACTGCGCAGCATTCGTTAGTGTAATTCTGTAGAAACTTTTCTTCTATTATCGCTCGCACGCGAACGAACACTGCGCAACGAAAACAATTCGTTTCACAATATTGTGAAACTAATTGTTTTCACTGCGCAGCATTCGTTAGCGTGTGAGTGACCACAGAAAAGAATTTTCTACAGAATTACAACAGTAAACGTTTTTTGCAACTTATCTTGATTGACTCTTCGTTATTTTTGTCACGGATATTTTTTGTGGGATTCCCTTACCTGGAGGCTGGAAACCCGATTCTGTGATCTTATCACATTCTGCTGCCCAGAGTCCTGCAATAAATCTGGACAGCAACCCCTGTGCATTGGGGGGGGGAGAGAGCTGCAGCTCGGCGGGTCAAATATCAAACCACACAGCTAAGTTCTTATGCTGGACCCCATTTGACCCGTCATATACAAGAGCCTCATGCTGGAGCTTGATTCTGGCGGGCGAAAGGGATCAGACAATAGTTAAAAGGGGAGAGAGATGGGTCACTTTTTGAGAGAGGGTGTAGCCTCCCCCCACCCCCTTTCCCGATACTCTTACCCTTCAATGCAGTAGGACTACCACAGCAGCAGGCAAGGGTTTCACACAAATGACTGAACAAAGTTTGAGTCCAGCGGCACCTTTAAGACCAACAAAGTTTAATTCTGGGTGTAAGCTTTCGCGTCCATGTACCTGAAGAAGTTTGCATGCACACGAAAGCATATGCCCAGAATTAAACTTTCTGGGTCTTAAAGGAGCCCCTGGACTCAAACTTAGTTCTAAAGTTTTATTCTACACACGAAAGCGGATACCCAGAATCAAACTTTGTGGTTCTTAAAAAGAGCCCCTGGACTCAAACTTAGTTCTAAAGTTTTATTCTGCACACGAAAGCTTATACACCCAGAATTAAACTTCGTGGGTCTTAAAAGGAGCCCCTGGACTCAAACTCGGTTCTGTTGCTTCAGGCCAACACAGTTACCCACCTGATCTACACAAATGATCGGCCGGGAAGAGAAAACCAGGGATTTCTCCTTGGGCAACAGTTTCAGGTGGACAGCCATGTTGGTCCGCAGTAGAGCTAGTTTGGTGTAATGGTTCAGTGCGTGGACTCTAATCTGGGAGAACCGTGTTTGATCCACATGCAGCTGCTGGTATGACCTTGAGTCAGTCACAAGTTCTCTCAGGAGCAGTTCTCAAGAGAGCTCTCTCAGCCACACCGACCTCACAGGATGTCTGTTGTGGGGAGGGGAAGGGAAAGGAGTTTGTGAGCCGCTCGGAGACTCCTTTGGGTAGTGAGGGGCAGGGTATAAATCCAATTGAGGGGCAGGGTATAAATCCAATGTCCTCTTCTTCTTCTAGACGAGCAAGATTAGAGTCCCGCAGCACCTCAGAGACCGACAAGACATCTGGGGCGTGAGCTTTCGAGAATCACAGCTCCCTTCGTCAGGTACTTGCACGCTGATGCCAGTATCTGACAAAAGGGAGTTTCGACTCCCCAAAGCTCACACCCTGGAAACCCTCATTGGCCTTTTAAGGTGCTGCCGGACTTGAATGTTGCTCTTCATGGTGGCGGAAAGTGCCGTCAACTCACAGCCAACGTACGGCAACCCTGGAGGGTTTTCAAGGCAAGAGACGTTCAGAGGAGGTTTCCCATTGCCTCCCTCAGCGTCACGACCCTGGTATTCCCTGGAGGTTCCTCATCCAAACACTGACCGGGTGCCGACCATGTCTGCTTCCAAGTTCTGGCAAGCTCAGACTAGCCCAGACTATGATAAAGGGATATATGGTGGTGGCAGGGCTCTTTTTGTAGAAAAAGCCCAGCAGGAACTCATTAGCATAATAGGCCACACCCAACAGCAGAAACCCATTAGCCTATTAGGCCACACCCCTGACAGCACAGCTCATTAGCACATTAGGCCGCACCCCCATGTTACCAGAAGTGTGGTCATCCAGCCACACCCACCTTTTGCTTCTTATTCTGTTTACCTTGTCTGTTGTCAAAACCCAGGGCCTTTTTTTGTAGCAGGAACTCCTTGGCATGTTAGGCCACACGCCCCTAATGTAGCCAATCCTAATGAGTTTCTGCTGATGGGGGTGGCCTATTATACTAATGAGTTCCTGCTGGGCGTGGCCAACTCTGGAGCCAGCCGGAACTCCGTTCCTGTGCGTTCCTGCCCACAAATAGCCCTGGGTGGTGGAATCTTAGCCTGATTCCTAGCTATCTGGAATATACTTGTAGACTTCATGTCACTGTGAATCTTACCAGAGCTATCACTAAGAAAAGTGGCCTGGTGAAACCCTGAGAAACGGCGAAGCAACCTAGGCCTGCCGTTGCCGCTCCTTCAGTTCATGCTACGGCTATTCTTGAGCCCTTGCCGGCCACTATGTGTTTTCTGTTGGAAACTCTTCTCCTGAGCCAGTTTAATCTGGGAGAACCGGGTTTGATTCCCCAATCCTCCGCATGCAGCTGCTGGATGACCTTGGGCAAGCCATAGTTCTGATAAGAGCTATCCTTGGAAAAAGAGCAGTTTCTGTCAGAGTCTGAGCCCCCACCGACCTCACAGGGTGTCTGTGGTGGGGAGGGGAAGGGAAAGGAGTTTGTAAGCCGCTCTGAGACTCCTTTGGGTAGTGAAGGGCAGGGTATAAATCCAATCCCTCCTCCTCCCTCCCTCTTCCAATTTGGTGTAGTGTAGCCAGTTTGGTGTAGTTGTTAGGAGCGCAGATTCTATTCTGGGAGAACTGGCTTTGATTCCCCACTCCTCCAAATGAAGCCAGCTGGGTGACCTTGGGTCAGTCACAAGTTCTCTCAGAGCTGTTCTCTCAAGGGCAGTTCTCAAGAGAGCTCTCTCAGCCCCACCGACCTCCCAGGGAGGGGAGGGGAGGGGAAGTGAAAGGAGTTTGTAAGCCGCTCTGAGATGCCGAGTCAAGGGCGGGGTATAAATCCAATCTCTTCTTCTTCTTCTCTGCATCATGAGCCAGTGACCGTGTCATTCTAACGAAAGACTTGTACCTTCAAGGACTATCAGGTCACCGTTCAACTGGGGCAGATGTCATTCATGCACAGTGGCAAAACCCGTTTGTTATGTGCACTGTTTATAATTGCAGTCAAACTGTGTAAGACGACGGAAGTCTCGAGTGTGATTTGCACAGATCGTTCCGGTTATTTGCTTGCACAACTGCATTCGCTGCATTTCCATTCTTGTGCGGTTGCCCACCAACAATAGCGGCCAGTAGACCCATTCCAACAACACAAGAATCGTCCAGACCAAGGTGGTCACCACTGGCCCAGCACCCGGCCTCCGACAGCAGCCAACTTGGCCGTCGGACAGCTGCATCAAGAATGCAGACGTCGACGGCTTCCGAAACGGCAGACTGAAGGTTTCTCTGGGCGCCGTTAGCCAGTTTCATCCCAGGTGAAGTCAGGGGCTCGCTTCATTTTGCTATCCAAAAAAGGTTTCGCTTTGGCGTGCAGAAAACTCAGAAACGCCTGTCCTCCAAGGAGCCTGCCCGCTGTCATTCTGCACGAGTCCCTTTGCTGGATTTATCTCAAGGGGCGAGGCCGGAGCAGAGACTCACTCGGAGACACAGCAACCTGCCCCTTCCAAGCACAGCTTACACTGCCCCCTCTTTGCCAGAGAGTGGAAGTTAACGCAAAGCTAAGACATGATAGTACTATGCACACGCACACACACCCAGATGAAGAAGAAGAAGAGACTGGATTTATACCCCACCCTTCACTGTCCGAAGGAGTCTCAGAGCGGCTGACAATCTCCTTTCCCTCCCCCTCCCCACAACAGACACTCGGTGAGGCAGGCGGGGCTGAGAGCACTCTCCCGAGAACCACCCTTGAGAGGACAGCTCTGAGAGAACTTGCGACTGGCCCAAGGTCACCCCAGCAGCTGCACATGGAGGAGCGGGGAATCAAACCCGGTTCTCCCAGATTACAGTCTGTGCTCCTCACCACGACACCAAACTGGCTAGGAAACAGAACGAGAAAAGGCATGACAGGCAGACTTCTTGACTGGAAATGCAGAAGAATCCTAGAATCTCTTTCTCGCAGACCTTGAATAGCTCAGCTCTCAGTTTAAGAGATGTTCCTACTTGGGGGGCGGGGGGTGGGTGGAATAAACTCCAAAAGCAAAGTCGGAGATCAGCAAGACTCACTGTTTGTTTAATCACAGGGGTGCACAGGACAAACGTTCCTGGGTCTCCCACAGCAATGTCCCCGAGAAGATGGAGAAAACACACGGGCCCCAAAAGATGGGAGGGTCCCTCACACGCAAAGACGGCAGCGTCTCACCTCGACTCCCCCACCCCCCCGCTTCCCAAACAAGAACAGGGGGCCGTTTCCCTCATTCCCGAGGGGCCCACCCAGGTCTGAGGAAGCCGATCCGCCCACCGAAGCCGTGGTTGACCAGCGAAGATCGTGGGACAATTTCTTATCGGGCTCGAGGACAGACAAAGACAGAAGCCCGGAGGAGTCAGAAAGCACTTGGGTTACAGAGGCAATAAATAGAGCTGCGTGGAAATATCACTCCTTGTTATGATACGTTCCCTTTTGGACGTCTGAAGCGAGACTCGAGAGTCTAACCTACTCCAACAGTTCAGGTTCTTGAAGCGGATGCTGACTTAATATCTGCAAAGTACCTTTAGCTTGGACTTTTGGAGGAAGCCTGTAAGAGTCTGGCCTCTTCTCCCTAGATGGCTACAGTCAGTCCTTTGGCCTTATTCGTAACCTTCCTCCTGGCGAGCAGCAGTTTTTCTCTAGGCCGCCACTGATTTACAGAGTCTTGTTTTTCCTTTCTTTGCCTTGCCGTGGGCATGGCTCTGCGGCTCGGCCCCGGAGACGACTCCAGGAGTCAACGAGGATTGCCTCGTTTCGCCAGGACGTCGGCTCGGGCCGTTATCAGGACTTTAACAGTTGTTTATAGGACTTGGTTGTCTGTTGCAACAAAGGTATTAATTTTGTTTTCATCCAGGCTTCACTTTTAAGAAATCTTTGTCGCGCTTTCTTGAAGACTTGAAGGGTGGATCCGGAGACATTAGCCGTGTTAGTCTGTTGCTGCAAGATAGCAGAAAGCCCAGCGGCACCTCTAAGACTAACAAACTTTATTGTGCCATAAGCTTTCGAGAAACACAGCTCTCTTCATCAGATGCGTGGAGGGTATGAAGAAACCAGCCAGTGATATATAGGCAGTAAGGGGAGGAGGATATATATATATATATATACACCACCTATATATCTCTGGCCAGTTTCTTCATACCTTCCGTGCATCTGACGAAGAGAGCTGAGTTTCTCGAAAGCTTATGCCACTATACAGTTTGTTAGTCTTAAAGGTGCTGCTGGGCTTTTTACTGTTTTGAAGCGTGGAGCGGCTTTCTATCATAATCCCACCCTTTCTCTACCGGGAATGGAGGTAACCTTCCTGAGAGGAAAGATCCGTCGCTATCAAGAGCAATTGAGCCTCGTTGTTCTGGGGTGCGGAGTGGCCTTGACTTCAGAGCGAGGAAGCGGGGTGGGGGGGAGGCCACAGGTCTGTTAAGGAGGGAGTCTTGACAGTTCTCAACAGGCTCAGCAGGGCAGATTTTCAGACATCTACACAGGAATGCGGAAGGATTCGTTTGGGAGATAAGAGCCGAAGCTGCAAAGAGCGGACAGCTGAAATACCTGGCGCGGATCTGCACGGAGGATCCGGCGCTCGCGAGGGTCGTCCACATCCACTGCAATGGCAGCAGCCCGGTTCGGCCAGTCTATGGCGGAGATCGCCTTGGAAAGCTTAACCAGGTTGTCCCGGGCCATGGCAGCTCAGGGCCCCCCCCCCCATTACAACCACCTCCCAGCATTTTCCTGTAGTAGCCTCGAGACTCCACGCAGGGAGAGTTGCCCCTCCTCCTCCTCCGACCCCTGGGGGAGCAGGACCTGTTTTCGTGGTCCCCCTTCCGGGCGACAGGCCCGACTCCACACCACACAGAAATCCGGCACAAAGAACGAAAAGGAGAAACAAACAAACAAACAAAAAACATGAAAGAGCTTGGCAAAAGCACACAGAAGGAGTCCAGTCGGTGTCTGGGGGGGGGAAGGGGGGACGCCGACCTGAGCCGATAGAATCACCGCGGGCCCAATTTTCGCCCACAACTTCCAAGACCCCAACTGCGGCCTTGTGAGTCCCACCGGAATTCCCACGGGAACCAAACGCTGTGACCTTTTCTAGAGGCAAGATGCCCTCGGGGGGAGGGACAGGGGGAGAACACGGGGAGAAGGGGGCTTCACTACAGGTGGAGATGATGTTGCCAGAGACCCCAGGTGGATACAGAGTCCCAGGGAATCGTCTGACAGGCCGGGGGGGGGGGGAGGCAGCGGCCATCAAAGCTTGAAGATCTCGTCCTCTTGATCCCGGATGCTGTCGGCGCGGGCGATTTTGGTGAGCGGCACGGGGCCCAGGACGGAGCGCTGCTGAGTGCGAGGAGAAGGCTCGTTCTGGTAGGAGGAGGAGGAGGGCCCAGGGCTGGACCCCGGCTCGTTCTCGGGAACCCTGGAGCGGGGGGGAAAGAGAAATACACAAGAGGTCAGATGCTGGGGTGGTGACATTTATGGCTGGAGTTGAGGGGCCCAGAGAACGCGGCGTTCCTGAGGAGGGCCTTGTGGGATGGCACAGAGGTTTGTCTGGCCTAGCCTCTGTTTCCTAGACTGGCCAGATGTCTCTGGTAACCCACACAGATGACATAAACACAAAAACATCAGAAGTGCCCTAGTCCAACATCCCATCTCACACAGGGGCCAGCCAGTTACTCTGGAGGGCCAGCAACAGGGCAGAGAGGCCGAGGCCTTCCCCTGAGGAGAGCCTCAGAAGAGCCCTGCTGGGTCAGACCAGGGAGGGTCCATCCAGTCCAGCCTCCCGTCTCACACAGGGGCCTCAGCCAGTTCCTCTGGAGGGCCGACAACAGGGCAGAGAGGCCGAGGCCTTCCCCTGAGGAGAGCCTCAGAAGAGCCCTGCTGCATCAGACCAGGGAGGGTCCACCTAGTCCAATGTCCTGGCTCACACAGTGGCCTCAACCAGTTCCTCCGGAGGGCCAGCAACAGGGCAGAGAGGCCGAGGCCTTCCCCTGAGAACAACTTCAGAAGAGCCCTGCTGGATCAGACCAGTGAGGGTGCATCCAGTCCAGCCTCCTGTCTCACACAGGGGCCAACTAGTTCCTCTGGAGGGCCAACACCAGGGCAGAGAGGCCGAGGCCTTCCCCTGTAAGGACATCAGAAGAGCCCTGCTGGGTCAGACCAGGGAGGGTCCATCCAGTCCAGCCTCCTGTCTCACACAGTGGCCTCAACCAGTTCCTCCGGAGGGCCAGCAACAGGGCAGAGAGGCCGAGGCCTTCCCCTGAGAAGAACATCAGAAGAGCCCTGCTGGGTCAGACCAGGGAGGGTCCATCTAGTCCAATGTCCTGGCTCACACAGTGGCCTCAACCAGTTCCTCTGGAGGGCCAGCAACAGGGCAGAGAGACCGAGGCCTTCCCCTGAGAAGAACCTCAGAAGAGTCCTGCTGGGTCAGACCAGGGAGGGTCCATCTAGTCCAATGTCTTGGCTCACACAGTGGCCTCAACCAGTTCCTCCGGAGGGCCAGCAACAGGCAGAGGGGCCGAGGCCTTCCCCTGAGAAGAACCTTGGTCCATCCAGTCCAGCCTCCTGTCTCACACAGTGGCCAACCAGTTCCTCTGGAGGGCGAAGAACAGGGCATAGAGGTTGACTTCCTCTGAATGGGGAGGTTCTCTTTAGTCCCAGTAGCTAGGAGCTACTGAGAGACCTCTCTCACCTCCACGAATCTGTCTGATTCCCTTTTAAAAGCTGCCTCTGCATGGGGCCCCCTCACTACATCCTTTGGAAGCCAATCCCACATTTTAATGGCTCATCAGGTGAGGAAGAATTTCCTTTTGTCCGCCCTGAATCTCCTGCCCATCAGCTTCACTGGAGTTCTAGTCTTTTGGGAGAGGGAGAGAAAATTCTGCCTGCTCTCTCTCCCCTGCACATAATTTTATAAACTCCTCTCGTGCCCTCAGTTAGTCATCTCTTTTCTAAACCGAAACGCCCCGGAATTCTTGAGTCTTCTGCCAAAAGAGAGGCGCCAAGCCCATAATCGTCTCGGTTGCCCTCGTCTGCGCTTTCCCAGCCCTGCAATACCGTTCCAGGGTTGGGGGGAACGAGAACTGCTCAATGGTATACAGAAAGGCGTGCCGATATCGGTCGTGTTATTTCCATGTTGCCTAACGTCCTAGTAAAGGTAAAGGTTCCCTTGCTCGAAAGCCATTCCGACTCTAGGGTTGCGGTGCTCATCTCCATTTCAAAGCCGAAGAGCCAGCGCTGTCCGAGGACGTTTCCGTGGTCATGTGGCCGGCATGACTAGACACCAAGACGCACGGAACACTGTCACCTTCCCACCGAAGCAGTACCTATTTATCTACTTGCAATTTCTTGCTTTCGAACGGCTAGGTTGGCAGGAGCTGGAACGAGAGACGGGAGCTCACTCCGTCATGCGGCACACTCGGGTCTCGAACTGCTGAACTACCGACCTTCCACAGCCTGCAGTTCAGCACCTTAACCACTTGAGCCACCGCAGCTCCTTTGCCTAACGTCCTACTTAACCATTATTTTACGGCTGCTCAGTTCTCTGAGCTCTCGGCCGTGCAAAAGACAAAGCAAAAATGTGACTCCAACCAGCTAGTCAGGGCCCCACCCCACGTCTTCAAAACCACAATCTCGCTAGAATATGCTGGCACGTGTTTGCAAAAATTCGGCAAACTGAAACAAAACTGAGACCCACTCTCCAGAGGGGCTTAAAGGAAGACCTGGAACCCTCTGGAGCAACAGTGCCTCCCAGTGGCCACAATGTTCAGCACAAGCTCTCGGAGGTTGGTGGGTTTAGCCCTGGGGCCTATTTCGCAACGCCGTGGGACACAGGAAGGAATAAGGCAGCCCCCTGAGAACGCACAGAGTGCCTTTCACAACCTGAAATCCAACTCCCCCTCCCAAAGACCATATGCCCTAAGCGCGTGGGCCCCCCACTTAGTAATCAAATCCTGACAAAAGTCTTACTCGGTAAAATCTTCAGACCTCATACCATTTCCCCGCTATGAGCCCTTCCAAATTATAGGTTTTGTTTTCTCAGCTGTAAAATGAACATTAATGAAGGAGGGGACAGGGTGGGCTATCCAGATATCCAAAAGCTATCAGAAGCCTCCGACATGGACATCTCCAGAGTATCCACGCATTACCTATAGCCAAAATATGAGTATGCAGCCTGGCTCACTTGTGTGAGCCATCTAAAGAGAATATGGTGCAAATCCCTCTCTT